AGGATGACTGAATGCAAACAATCCAAAATGTGCCTAAACAAGAACCATCCTAGAACAGAGTTAGAGTGCTATGGGTTGATTTTCAAAAGGGTTTACAAGAAATGACCACAACACATGTACATGGTTATATTCTTATATATTTTTTTATTATATTGCTGCATCTGTTGCTGCTTAAAGTGCCTTAGATTTTGTGTTATTTATCTACTTTATATTTCATTTGTGTTTTGTGGCATTCATGTGGACAGCAAAGTAAAGATTTCATTGTACAGGGAAACACGTTTCCCAACTGTGCATATGACAAAATAAACACTTTGAACTTTGAACATGGTAACATTTTACACAGCATAAAATAGCTGAAAAAGTGCAAATACTAAAATGTGATCAGAAAAGTGTTAGATAAGCTGACACACTTACCATAGACTTTGCCCAAGAACAGTGTCTTGACGAGGTTAAACTGTGTGTCTGAGGCGTCTGGGAGGGTGTAGCTGACCGGAGGGTAATGATCCAACTGAAACAGTAGGACAGAGAACCTGTATTAGTAGACTCTGCAATTTAAGGAGAGTCTTAGTCTAAAACTGCTGACCACAGTGTGTTAAAAAAAGAAAACAGTGTAGGACCTGCATCAGCACATTAAGAACAGTATACAAGAAGAACAGAAGGTAGTTCATTGCTGTTAGGCACAGTAAAGCTGCAACATGGCATAGTCAATAGCTCAGGAGCTCCCTCTTGTGGTTTTAAATGCAAAGATGCACAAAATAGCTCAGTAATGGTGAAAACACCCAGTTAACCAACCTTAATATTATTATTTTGAATAATGATCAAAGACAGTTGAATTAATATGAATCAACAGAAACAAATTTGAGCAAGTGTTTCTCTTACTCCCTTTATTTGAAAGTCACTATCGGACTTAGCCAGGACAAGTTTGGATGCTCTCACATGCCATCATTTGGCTTTTGAGTGATAGAAAATGAGTTTTAGGATATTTTTTGTAAATTCAAATTGACAATTTGCATTGCATATAGAGGGTTGAACTGGGAAAACTCTGCAAACAACAGGTCTACTTAGAAAATCTGATTAAAAGTTATCATAACAATGCAAACTGAAACGTGATCTTCTGTGATCCTACAAACAGCTCTTTGCCAGGACTAAAGATAAATGATCATGTTAATTAAAAATATGTAAGGAAATTTATTTATATGGCACACTTAAACACAACAAATGCTGGCCAAAGTGCACCTATAAAAAGCATAGGAAAATAAATAAAGGCAAAGGATAACTGAATAAAAATAATGAAAAGGCTAAAGCAAAGAGATGGGTCTTAAGACAGATTTAAAAAATATCAGCAGAGGGGGGAGATCTAATAGTTAGTGGCAAACTGTTCCACAGTTTTGGACCAGCAACAGAAAATACTCAATCACCTTTGGATTTCAACTGTGTGCTTGGAATATAGAGCAGTAGGTGGTGAGCAGACCTGAGGAGTCTAGAGGTGCAGCAGGGGATGAGGAATTCAGAGATGTAATCCAGTGACAAATCATGCTGTGCTTAAGCATAGTCAAGGCAAGGCAACTTTATTTATATAGCACATTTTGTACACAGCGGCAATTCAAAGTGCTTTACAGAGACAAAGAAAATGGTAACAGCAGTAAAATAATAGACATTAAAACCAGAATAAAATCAGATAAAATGAAAATAAGAACAAAACCACTAAATAAAAGGTCTGAAACTGAAATCCAGCAGTTATAGTACAGAAAGTGCAGCTTAGGAACCAGTCACACAAAAGCACAGGAAAACAGTTGAGACTTGAAAGCAGCAGAGTTGGGGCACGTTTAAGGTCCCTGGGAAGTTGGTTCCATCTGTGTGTTGCATAGTAGCTGAGAGCAGCTTCACCCTGTTTGGTTCTGACCCGAGGTTCTACCAGCTGACTGCTTCCTAAGGATCTTAGAGCCCTAAACTATTAGTAGCACTTTAAAATCAATTCTGCAGGCAACTGATAGCTAGGTGAGATGAAATAAAAGCATGTTCTATAATCTCCATGTCTTCAGCAGGCATGTTTTTCATTTTGCGAGTGATCTTAGTTGTGAGAAACTAGAGAGAAAAAGCAGTGTGCTTACAAAGAGTGTCAGCGGAGATGAGACCAGAGAGGTTGATTGAGGGAGGTAATACGTGACTTTAATATCCCTGCAACATAATTAACTTGTTATTGCTGTTTCACTGAAGTTTCTAATTAGCTTAAAGGCTGCAGTCGGTGCTACAGACGAGGATCATTTCAACCCCACAAATTGGTTTCTGTGTGTTCCAGAAATAAAAGTTCTCCCTCCCGCATTTCTCTCTGACCACAGGAGAACTGTATCTGTGCGTACATTGGTCTGCAGACTGCCTGCCAATGGCCCAAGCCAGAGGAGGGGAGGTTGATTGAAAACAATGACTTTTGTTAATGTGTGTTTTTCTGGAAAGTTTTCCATTGATATGCTGAATAGCTGCTGTGACCTGTTAACTGGGAGCTGAGCTGGACTGTCACTAAAGAGTTTATGTATGTTTGTGTGTATGCCTGTCTTTGTTTATGGGTTTGAATCAGCAGAGTTTTCCCAATACAGAAAATCCCAGCTACCCCTTTAGACTATTTTCTCCCTATTTCTCCCTACACACAGACACACACACATGCAGCATATCCTAATTTGATTCTTTCCAAAAGCCTGGTCTCAGTGGAGCATTGTGTGGGTTTTGTTTTCCACGGTGACTGGAGGGTGGGATAATGGGGCACAATTAAATTGCACTCAGCTTATTTACTTTTATCTGAGAATACAAATTGGCTGCACAGCCAGTGAAGCCGGTCTGAGTCTGGAAAGCACATGCAAAGGTCCACAGAGGAAAACAGCCTGGAAAGAAACCTAATTTTACCAAACTTTGTCAATTACAGCCACAATTATTGTGATCCTCTCCTTTTACACTTCACAATTTAGACAACACAATTTTCTCCTTCAAGAGCTGTTGGTGCCTCTTAGGTTTCATAAAGCTTACATAGGCAAAGTAATCAGGGGTTAAATGAAAAGAAAATTAACAATGGGTGAAATCTATTTCTCTAACTATGCACTCACAATGAATCTCATTTAGCCAATGTGCAGTATATATTCACACTTTACAGTACACTGAGAACTTTTTACTCTGGTGAAAGCTCTGTGTCCTTAATGAGATCACCGGGACAAAAACACTCCCATCACAGATTGAACATTAGAGAACCTAAGTGCAAATAAATGCAAATTTTCTCTGCACACTCAAACAAACAGCTCAATATCATCATGAACTGAACTACTGAATTATTGGCTTGGGCCAGCCATTTGTATCACTAACACCACAGCAACAATTATCAGTGGGGACCTCGAGAAAGTGTTAAAGCCTGCAGTTCTTTGAATGACCACTTGAGGCTGGCTCCAAAAAGGAATCAGTCCCCATAAACCCCCGTGTTAAAATGCACAACTTTACAGCAGAAATAAACTTGTTTACAGTCTGGTACAAAAACCATTTTTGGGCTCTATAGCTAATTTCCCCTTCCATGACAACTGTAATGGATGGGTGAATTTTTATACAACTTTCCCATTTTTATACAACTTTATACTGAGGCTAAAAGTTATGCCTAATTAAAGGCCTGACCTCTTTGAGTGACAGGCAGGAGGGTCTCACCATACAGTAGGCGGCTAGCTGCTAGCTGTCTATAGCTCCACTCATGCTCCCTCTCTTTGTCCATTTCTGGATTAGCTGGAGTTAGGCAGGGTTCAGCACTACCAGGACACTGATGGCCAGACTTGAGCTTCAAAACCACTTTTCAGAAACCAATAAAGTACCATAGGGATCAGCTACTTTTGTAGGCTAGCCCAAAAGTTAGCATCACCCTGGTTCCCTCGACAAAAAGCCAGTGGGATTTTTCAATAGATTTTTGCATTATTGTAGAAAATAAGCTCTGTGACAAACAACAGTTGATGCAGTGGGTAGAGAAGCCGTCTCCCAACCGGAAGGTTGAAAGTTCGAATCTTGGTGCCTGCAGTCCACATGTCGAAGTGTCCTTGGGCAAGACACCAAGTTGCCCGTGATGGCGGCGCATATGGACACAGCGGCCCGGGGTCCCTTGGCTCCATACAAAATTTTGTTGTACGTGTCACAATGTTACAGTAAAATAAAGCTTCTTCTTCATTTTGTTCAGCAACATAATCTTCACAAATGAACATCAGCTTTATGACATTTGATGTCCTCGACAGCCTCTATATTCTCATTTAGCCAATTGTTAGCAACTGCCTTTTTAAAGACATAGAAGCATTGAAAATCTTGAGTGGGGTATTTGCTGGTATTTGCTTTCACCATTTCAAATGGTGAAAATGCGTTGGCCTTGTGTTAACCACAGACCTTATTTCAGGCATCTAACCAAAAACCCATTGACTTCAGGGCGAGGGAACCGAAGTGCAAAATTCTAAATCATTTCTGGGTTTTATGACTCAGTACTATGGTGCTCTATGGGTGAATCACAGAGGGTTCATCTGTCTTTTAAATACAGTCAGTGACACAGCAGGTATTTATGTGCACATGCAAATTAATTAAGCCTCAGGGATAGAAAGGGGCTAGTTAATCTAAAGGTATTAAAGTGACCTCTGCTATCATATTCTGTGGATTTACTTTCTTTATTAAGGCATTATAAAATTAGACATTGTCTGTTTTCTTTCACCTGCCTCCTCTCGCTTTGACTCTTATTCTGTCTTTATTTTGTTCTCTATCTATTCTGCTCCCCTTTTGTCAGATTTCAGTTACCACAACCCTACTTGTCTTCTCATTTGTTCTCTGCCATGTCTTCAAACTAAATAGAGCATGTTCAAATGTCTTAAAGATTTACAGCCCTGATAGAAGAGAAGTGAGACCTCTGAAGCCTGAGATAAACCCTCAACTCTGTTTTACCCTGGAAACTCCATTCATTGGCAGGCCTGCAAGCATAACTGACATTTATTGCATCTGACTCATATGTTGGGCTCTCATTCATGTTGTTACATCTCAGATGAAAGCAGCTGCAACAAGGCCTTTAATAAACATGTAAGGAAACTAATAACAAGTTGAGTTGGTTAAATTACAAATGCTGATGGCAGGCTGAAACAAAACACGCATTTCAGGCTTTAATGCAAATAATAATTTGTGATCCAATTTCAGACTGTGTAATTAGCAAGTGTACAGTTTAACCCATTATAATTCAGTCTGAATATTCAAAAGCAGTTATTTGAACATGTTAGTAGATAGCTGAAGCTCTACACTCTCTGTCTCTCCATAAATGTTGTTGATGGAACCTGCAGCATAACTGAAGCTCTATCTAATGGCCACATTATAGAAAAAGACTGCTTTTTTTCAATTGCCTAGATCTTTCAAAATCACTATTTACACATGCACCTGCTAATTTTAGCAGGGCCACTGGAAACAGTACTGACATATTATCACCCTTTGTTGATATGGTGAAAACAGCTGCCTGCTTTAACCCAAAGCTGCATTATGGGGAAAACATTCAAACAGTGAAGTTGCAGGCCAGAAAACGAAAACAAGGAGCTGAAAGGCACAGTGAAGTCCAAAGAGGTCAGAGGAACTGAAGAGTTGAGTGATGATTCACAACCCTAGTAGTCATGTGGTCCATTATACAAATACTGATTATAGCTGCTTTATCGTGAATTAGCACAACTTGTGGCAAATAGAGTCCTTCAGTATATATTCAAAAAAGTCTTTAACAATGGTCCAATCCCAGTTCACCCCCTTGGCCCTAACACTTCACCCTACTATTCCATTTTGCACCTTCATGGTAGGGGTGTCTGAATTCTCTTTAGGATGGAGGAGTAGGGCAAAGGGGTAGGGCTATGCAGCCCTTCAAACTGAGGGCTTTCAGAGGCAGACTCAAAACTGAGTGGAATGAGGCTAACTACAAATAAGCAGTCGATGCTACAGACCTGTGTCAAAAACATATTTCTGTTGTTGCATTTTAGTCATTTGCTGTTGAAAATCACAAGGCAGTGCTTATAGACCACACAAGATAAATCGTCACAGCTGAAGACAGCAGTGTGTGATTCAAAATTTCCTGCAACAATTTGCTGCATATATTTACTTAACCATCATTATTGATTACCAATGACACATAGAGATGGGTGTCCCCAACTCATACGGAAAGCTTTCAGCCATTACTCCTTGTAACTCCATTTTGAGGGTTAACTTAAAAACAAGGGGTAGGGGTAAATTCTATTCTATTCTTGCTCAGTGTTTCTCTTGTTGTTGTCCTACCTAGCACAGTATGTCCTGTTCTTTGTATCTCATTAGTGTGAGTGTGAGTTTTAGTCACGGTTGTTAGCTTAAAGTAAATAAACTTGTATTAAAAGCCCAGGGATACGTGAGAAATCAGACAGTGGGAGGTAAGGAGAAAACAAGGAGTGGAGAAGTGGAGTGGATAGATGAATTAGACTGAATAATATTGATCTTGTAGTGTAGCAGTGTAAAGCCTTTGTAATGAATTGACCTGACAAGATCTCACCTGTGCATGCATTTCTGTTGGTATGCATGTCCACATCTGTTTACGTGTGGCTATTTAATGCATGTTTGTACCTTAAGAAGAGCCCTCAGGCAGTAAGGCAACATGAAAAAAGTTATTTTCATCAGCACACTTTCATGGTAAACCTTTCATGTTCTATCCATAAACTTAATCTATTTTTCTTTCTATCCCACGCCCACAGTTCCCTTACTGACTCCTCTTCTTCTTAAATCCAAATTACCCCATCATGCCCACCAGTCTTCCCTTAAATCTCTTAACACTCTTTTAGGTTTAAGTGCTAAATGTATCATTTAGGGACATTCTATGAGATTTTGAGGGCTGGTATTTAGAGTACACCTGGGCACAGGGGACTGGTAAACTGCAGATATATGTCGATACTTAAGAGTTCAGTCACATACCGAACACTGGGCTGAACATCAATATTGCCAATCTACACACAATTAAGTTGTGACCGTTCTGTGAAAGACACAGTGTGTGCAAGTGTGAGTGATGAGCAAAGAATCTTGTAGTTGCTCAAATAATTTTTTATGCCAGTAGGCTCCCATCACAGTGATCAACAGCTGCAGGTTTAGATTCACTAAAAAAAATACAACAAATCAGATGTTTCAGTTTAATTTTCTTATTGTCAGAATGTTTCGCTGCAGTGTGCAGAGGTGATGAGAATCCAGCATGAATGGGTTCATTGCTCTGTGCACATTTAGTGATAGAGAGAAAGAAAGGAATAATGACTTGTCTAGAAGTGGAAATGCAATAATTAGAGGTATAATAAGTGGACCATGATTCACACTGTCCAACATTTTATTTTACCCTAATGAAAGCAGCAGTAAAAGGCACCTCATTTGGACCTGCAATTAGTGATGGTGGCATCCTAACCATTATAGCCAGGAATACACAGAACATAACCAATACTGTTTGGTCTAAATGGTATTATACATCTGCTAGTCAATATGCACTCTGATGATATCCTAATTATATCCACCAAGGACGGGACTTATTTTTTAACTCCAACTAACTCAAAAAATAATGAAAACTAATGAATGGATTTTGATTACATTTTATTTTGGAGAGGTAGGGTTTGGCCCACAGAACAATTGATTAGATTTTGGTGCTGATTTGTATTATAATGTGGATACAGGAACATTTTAAAAATTAAGCCTGGGCCAACTCGAGGCCCTTCTGTGAGGAGTTTGCATGCTCTCTCTCTCTACCTGCGTGGGTGGTCGTTAGCCCTGTGATAGACTGGCAACCTGTCCAGGGTGTATCCCACCTCTCACCCGGTGTCAACTGGGATTGGCTCCTGTGACCCTATTCATGAATAAGCAGTATAGATAATGGATGGATGGACTGATTATTTTAAAAGATTATTAACCACTGTGAGTGCTGAAAAGGCTGCTTGACTGTATGTAAGCCCCTTTGCGGCCAAAGTACATGGCTGTGCTGCTGAGCACTCTGAGTACATACAATACGGAGTCAAATCCCTGGGTTAGTGACAGCTGCCCATTCATTGTCAGTGGAACCTGAGTGCTGTCACCTCTCTGTATGAGACAGCAACTGGGGGAGCCCAGCGTGGAAACAGCCCAGAGCTTGGGAAAGATCCACTCTATGCAGCGACAGCCGGGTGAGAGCCTGATGGCAGCTAGCCTCAAAGCTGTTTTCATTTTCATCTGTTAGACTGGTATGGTTAATTTGTTCTAATGTGGATATACAGTGTAGTGATTGGGTGTATTTTATGTACAGTGCCCCCCCATTTGCTTTATATTTGAACAATTTTTGGTTCATTTTACAATTATGGGTTGCTGAACCAATTGATTATCTCAGTTTTAACAAATCATATTAAATCAAGTCATAGTAATTTTTGCAGTTAATATGTTGTTAAGACACCTCTGTCTCTACAATGATTTCTAAAGCAGAGGTGATGCAGATCTGAGTTAGACTGAGGCTTCAAGTAATTATATGTGTTTGTTTCATGGGTGGGATGTAGTGCATTCAGATTCCACAAATAAGAAATAAGAAAGATGATGTTTCATTGATGAAGGCAGGGAATTGATTTTGTTAACATAACCGTTACAATCCTTACAGAATTAGCACTGCAACATGTCAGAAAATAGCTGGAATTTTAATAAAAACAAGCTTATACTAAATTAAAGAAATGAAGCTCTCCACACAGTTCAGCACATTTGCAGGAAGAAAGTGGGTCAGTTAAAGCCACACTGCCTACTGGTCACAAGGGGGTTATTTGGCTCTTTGCAAGTGAATATATGATTCATTTACTCGGTGGAAGTATGTGGTTTGTGTCAAAAAAATATACACTGTTTAAATGGCTGAACAATTACAAAAACTGAAAACCCTACAAAATGCCATAAATCAAATGCTATGTGTGACACAAGCAGAAGTGTAAGTGTGCAGAGAAAATAACATGGTATTCAATTTACAAATTCTCCAGGAGGCCATGCAAAACAGCTGTGTATTTGTTCAAGGTTTTACAGTCTCCCTTTTGATCATTTATCATTTAAGAAAACAGCTTTTTTTTCGTTAACCATAATATGACCATGCAAATGCAAATTTATTTCGATGTGGATGCAACCAAAGCGATGATTTGCAGATGGCTGCCATCATTCTAGAGTCCTGCTTGATCTAAAATCTGTCAAATCTGGGCATTTTCAGCAAGAACAAAATTATTGTTTAGCTGAATTCTCACTTCCTTCTCGACAGCTACTGACTGAGGCTTAGCTGTATTGATCTGCACTAAGCTATTAAGCTACAAGAGCACACAAACACATATGCATACACACAGAAAGACATAAATAAATATACACATATTTTGTCAGGCACAAGCACATGTGCAAACATGGACACTCATTCTGTCTCTCATGTGCGCCCACACACACACACACACACACACACTGTCTACTGAAAGTTGATTAACAGTGGCAGTGGACAAGCAGCTTCATTACAACAGAAGACAGGACACTGCTTTCCCCTCTGACTGACTGCAAACCACCACTGATACTGCCTGTGCTTATGTGATGGTGTCTTTGTGATTGAGAATGTGTATGAGTATTTTATGTGTGCTTGTAGCAGGACAATCCCCTGAACTCAGTGTTTGCTTTTAAGTGTTCAGATGTGTGTGTGTGTGTGTGTAGTCAGTACCTGGATGGTGATGCTTCTGTTGATGCGGGACACACTGATGCTATGAGGCTGTCCGTTGGCCAGGTTACGCTGGTCCACATCTACAGCAAATGGTTCTTTCAGACCTCCCAGGTTATATTGCACTTGCATTGAACCTGAAGACACACAGGGGAGTGGTTTGGTCTAGTTGCATGAAACCTCACATTTCACCTACCTATCTGCCTTCCTATTAAACAAAATACATTCTAGATAGACATGTTTCTCAATCACTGGATGCAGAAGAATGACTGCTGATGAAATTCGGAGGATTCCCAGGAACCTTGGATTGTGTACCTGGGATTAAGATCTGGTGACATAACCCCCCAAAAAGACATCCACTGTATCTCTTAAATCTGACTACTTGCATGCAAAACATACATCACAAGGAAATTGTTGAAATGTGACTATTTAAGGTCAGAACAGTGGAACACTGAAAACCTGAACCTTTGTTTCAAAACTAACTAGGGGGTCTGTGAACAACACTTTGGAAAATGGACCACATGCAACAGAAAGGTTGTGCCCTGTTTAATTTTCTAAATTTGACATTTTATTTTTATGATTTCTGTTACTGTGACATATATTTATATGGTGAATCTTGTTCAGTTTCTTGAAAATTATTTGCAAAAAAATTTGTAATAAAATTCTAATAATATTCTTCCCAAAGCATTGGTGCAAGAAACCCTGGATGATTCAGATGGCCCACAGCTTCCCAAGGAATTATAGCTGTTTCTCAGGGCACTTACTGAACATTGTGTGTATTTTGCTGTTGCCTTTTGTCAATTGTATAGATCAGTTGTTAAAACGCTAGATGGCACTGTCAAATTTTTGACTTATTTGTGATTGAAGCACTTTGCTGCATGTCAGTTGCTCGGAGGAAGGCCACTAACTGAAGAGGATTTTATAACTTTCCAAACATTCCAAGCCGTGCTGCAAGGACATCCTTTAAAATGTATTTTACAGCACTGACAAACATACATCTCACTAATGAACAACCACAAACTGTGTGTGTATTTGGATCTTACCATTCTGCCTTAAAACCACAGCCAGATAGTCCTGTGACTTGGAGCTGACATACATCAGAATAGCTGGAGCACTGGATGTGCTGAAACTAAAGGACAGTTCCTCCTTTGTAAGATTCACTTCACGTTGTGTCACTTGGTGCATTGGGATCTTCGTGTCTCTGCTGTCTCCTGCAACTGCTTCTGGTATGAAGTTGTACTTGACCAACGTTCCTGCCTCAAAGAAACCCCCAACATCTGGGTAAAATGACATAAGAAATAATAAATAAAAATAAAAATGCTATATTAAACTTACATAAAATGGTCAATCCTTTGTTAATATATACTTAAAGCTACTCTACCTAATTTCTTTTCAGTCACTAGAGGGTCTAATGAGACTCAACATAAAGTGACCTTAAGCTACCCCTAACTGCTCTTAGGCACACAAACCAGACTATATGGTTAATATTAGGAAAAGGCCCTGGGGTCAGCTAAACATTAAACCACTTAAAACATAAACAAGAGAAGCCGGAATGACAAAAGAAGCGCTGTGGACAGCAGAGTGTCATGGAGGGGGGTTGTGCCGATGACAGACACCACATCCTGTTCCATTTCAGTTGATTTATTTAACAATGTGGAAAATCTTAGATAATGCACCTTTAAAGAAAACTGGTTCATTAGACATTAGTCTTGCCGTCCTTCAAAAGCTATACATTTAACATTTTATCTTAACTTATACAAACTGTAAACTCTGGGGCCTATAGCCAGTGTAACCACTCTCAGGCTTCTCTGTTCTGCTCAGACAAAAAAGGAGAGAGCCTCTGAGTAGCTGCCTAGAGGCTCAGCAGCAATACACACAGCTGTCTGGAAGCACAGGCAAAAACTCCACTCCAGAGCAGGGCTCTGTGTGTATGTACATTTCATGTCAGTATGTGAAGATATTCTGGTGAGGGCATTTGTGCAAGCATGCAGACCTCTGCAGGTAATATGTACTGTATGTGTGTGTTTTGTGAGATTGTGCATGCTTATAAATGTTTGTACATGTGCATGCTGGCTCCATGTGACCCTCAAGGGCAGAAAAGCAGAAGAATGAGAGTGCATAATAATACTGTGAGGCGCCTTGAGCAGCGTGTAAATATGAATACAATGGAAATGCATTATGCAATTATGACTGCCTTCATACATTTTTCACTTGCTGGGAGTAGGGGGAGATTAAAGGGAAAGAAGGAGAGAAATTTGGTAATGGAGAGAGAGAAAAAACAGGAGACGGGCAACTGGGAGAGGAGGGAGAAAAAGAAAAGGAAGATATAAGGAAGAGATGAACATTTAGAGGGGAATCAGTGAAGTGGATTGGGGTATAAATGGGAAAAAGGAAGCAATGAGATGGAGAAAGATGACGGGAGAACATGAAAAAGGAGAGGTGACAAGGAGAGCAAGAAAAGAGGAAGAGGGGAAAATGAACTGAGTTGAAAGAAGATAAAGATAAATGAAAAGAGGAGACGGCAGAATAGATTCTCATATGGAAGACAGGGAAAG